CAATCATCTCTTCGATACAAATGTATACCAATGCGTGTGGAATACCTAAAAAATTTATCAACGCCTAACTCTTCATCCTTTTTCACACTTTTGGACAGTGCTATAAAAACCTTATTTGAGGGGGTCTATTGTCGTTACTACCAAATACTTTGCAGATTCGATATTCTGAAAGAGAGAGTACGTTCTGGTTTAAAGGTTCTTGTAGCACGCATGCTGGCGAAAAAGCGCCAGAGAATGAGGAAGGCAGCCTTGACATAGACCGTCTCCTTTCCATATGTGGTGCATGAGCAGCCAAAATCCGCTGGAAATGAGAAAACAAATTTTTATCGTATCCTTTCAAAGAGGGTGCATGTGGCGTTGCGGTTGGAGGCGCCACTGCGACACACACGTGGAATCGATCCCGGCGCCCATGGCCCACCAAGCCTTCCAACTCTTAAGGGTCGGTAAATTAGTATCAGAATTGGCTGGGAGGATAGCAGCACTGAAGATTGAAGGTCGATATATCGGTAGGCCACCGCGAGTCATTGTAAAGGCCAGGTATGCACTCGATCACCTCCAACGATACTTAATGATGTTCAATGCATGGCGCATCCCTCAGAGATAGATCAACCCCGAGAGCTTTATCCTTTTATCCCTTCAAAGATTTAGTGGAGCGCAAACATTAATATCATTGTAGAATTTTCAATTACCTGGTTTCAGTAGTAGGCGATCATGACGTGGTAAGGATTTTCATTTCTAAGAAAGAAAGCCGGTTGAATATATAATTTGAAGAACTTAGAAAAAGTCAACTATCTGAAAGAGCTGTGAATTATTACTCACCGGTTGTAGTGGACTGCTTTAGATCCGAAAGAAGTGTATATTGTAAAAAAGACACGAAAACAAATACAGTTCCAGACTCAAAGATGTCTAACAAGCGGCAGCTCATGGAAATTCCATGGATATGTCTTGGTGTGGCCATCTCACGATTTCAGAGACAAACCAGTTCGGCTAACATGTGATATGTTCGAATACAACACTTGGTGGATCCGAAAGGCAGCATTGGACCATTGACGTGGAAACAGTTTCCAATTATGTACAAACGTCTTCAGACCATGACCTCCATGTTTCTCCAGAGGCTGGAGACGACGTGAGTCACAATAGAATCAATCATTAATGAAATAAAAATAAAAAGGCTATCACTAAACATTGGAGCTATTAGTATCTTGGATGAAAAGATTTCCTAATTAATGCCGATGATGCCGATTTGATTGTACGCTTTTCAAAAAACAACTCTATTAACAGCTGTCTCCAGAACAAAGCTCATTGTACGGAACTCGATAGTTTCTATGAAGATCTCGAATAACTATTCCATCATGAAGAGTCCTTACAGGAAATTTGAAGGGGCAACTTCAATGCAAAGATAAGAACAGTGCAAGCAAGAACATGATTACAAAACCCTGAAGTTTCAATTAACAACGTCGTAGGGAAAATGGAGATCGTCTTTCTGAACTTCTGTTTACAATTGGTCCCTTTGGTGAACATTCCTTCTTTAACAGCAGAAACCACACCCACTGCACGTGAGAACCTCCGGCTCATGGCAAGACCAACTACATCCTTGTGAACATAAAGTGTAATCTATTCCACGTCGAATGCATTCCCATTTTTTTCCCACCGGAACAGATCACCGCTTCCTTCGTGCGAAGATTTGTTCAAACAACAAGATGGAACAGAAATACGCTGTCATCGGGCGAGGATCACAGCACAAACCGCATGCAGTGAATCTATCATCGGTGATGAAATAAACAGTTATAATTGGTACATAAGAGAGAATTCGACTAAGGACCATAAGATGTACAACCTGTGCTCACCACGCTCGTCTTAATCCAAAGACAAACTTTAGACTTTTAACAAGAAAGACAAAAAACTTCTAAAAAGTGAAATTCCTACGTTTATGGTAAACAGACAGAAGAGAAAAACGAATAGGTTATCTTGAATGAATCACGAATTAAAGAAACTACATCTCACCTAGATGTACATATGGGAAGTTCCATTAGTATGAATAACCAGTTTACCGGACACTCTGGCACAGGTCACCAATCAGCTTCTTGATTTCAGTAGATATGCTCACCTTGGTCTACTACTTCAGCCGTATAGAAGAATTTGCACGCACTATAAGGAACAACCCCAGATCTCCCTAATGAAAATAAAAGGATAAAACTTTCGGCTTTAAATATTCCATGACAGATGCACAATAAATTCGACTTCATCAAGCATCGTTGGAGGCGATTGAATGCATATCTGGCCTTTACAATGACTCGTGGTGGCCTACCGATGTATCGAGCCAGTGCTGCGTTCCTCCCAGAAAAGTCTAGTACCAATCCTTTGAGCTCGGAAGTATGGAAAGCTTGGTGAGCCATGGGCGCGGTGATTCCACGTGCGTGTTCGAGGACGCCTCGCACCACTCTGCCACGAGCGCCATTTCTCTCTATTGTCGCTTAGTCGTGAGCAATGTGGCGCGTCCCCAAGTGGCAGATAGGAGGTGAGTGGCGGACCAAAGGCGACCTTTGCTTCTCTGAGAGGTATGCCCGTTTCTGCTGCTCAGAATTGGCACATACCTCCTGTATTTACGAGGGCGTATTCATGCATGTGTGCGTGGGTGTGCCTTTTAGTTTCCTCTGGTGAGGTAGGGCGAGTCCGGAGAGCCTGCCAAAATTTCGAGGCCATTCTAAGCTGCTTAAAACGCAAAGGACTAATGTGACGATCTGTACCTACAATGCACGTACACTTGCATCCGAGTCCTCGATACAAAACTTGCTCATGCAAGCAAGAAGGATAAGGTACGACGTCATCGGCCTGGCTGAGACGAGACGACGTCACTCATTCAACGCCGTCTATGACACCGAAGAACTGTTCCTCGGAACATGCGACAGTAGAGGAGTCGGTGGCGTCTTCGTTCTCGTCAACACGAGTTTTTCCATGAACACCGATTCATTCGAACAACTTGCAACCCGAATCGGACGTTTACGATTGAAGAGATGTGGGTCAATGGCGGCTTTGACAATCTTCGTCGTCTACACGGCGATATCAAACTATAACGAAGAAGAAGTCGAAGCGTTCTATATGAACTTGGAAAAGTTCTACAGAGAAGACCATACATTCTTGAAGGTCATCATTGGAGATTTCAATGCCAAGATTGGACGAGACGAAGATGTGAAGAACGTCACATGGGACCAACGGATTAGAATGAAACGAGCAGGGTGAGCTCATGTCTGAGTTTATCATGACAACAAAGACCATCCATAGTAACTCGCAATTCCAGAAGCGCCACCCTCAGCGCTGGACGTCGGAGTCTCCCAATGGAGAGGACCATAACGAAATAGACCGCATCATAGTAAATAGAAGATTTTGCTAACCGATGTTGCTATTGTCCCAAAATTCTACACGGGATCAGACCATCGCCTCTTCCGTGCAAGATCCTACTTCTCGTGGAAAGTAGAAAAAGCCGCTAAGTTCCAAAACCGAAGTCCCAGAACCACCATAAACTGGGGGGTATTGAGTTCATTAGTCGGCTGTTGGGAAGATGCCGTTGTCGATATCAACGACGAAGAATACGATCGGCTCATTCAACATCTTCACACTAGTGCTATGAAAGCTCAGAGTTCGAAAGTCACCAAGAGACGTCTGTCTAGAGAAACACTCGAGCTGATACGCCAGCGTGGAATCGCACGAGCTGCAGGCAACCACGAACTAACATCCGAACTTGCAAAGCAATGCAGACAGGCGATAAAAGAAGATCTTAAAGAGAGAAGAACAGCATGGCCAAAACTGCACAACACGGAGAAGCATTCGCAGTGCCCATCGAAACTTCGCCAATCACAGAACAAAGGTGATTACACTTCGATGCCCAGACGGAACAGTTACAGTGTGTCTAGAAAGGCAATGAAGAAAATCATTTATGATTACCACTCAGTTCCCTTCAGTATCCACGTCCTTCTGCCCTCGTATAAAATAAGGGAGGATGTATGTCGTACCATCGGTTCTCTCTTTGGAAATCGGACGTTATTTCGTCGGTGAAAAAACGAACACTACCAGGTCGAGACAGGATAAGATCTGAACACCTGAAGAACCTTCTGACAGCCCTCGTAAACACACTGACTCTGCTCTCTGCACATTACCCGTCTGGATGTAAGGTCCCTACTAAGTGGAAGACCAGCAAGAACGTGCTATTGTTAAAGAAGGGTGACATCCACGATCGGCTATCGGCTATCGACTAGTCTGCTTGCTATCAGTGGTCTCAAAGAAGTATTGCGAGATTACAAAAGAACACTCTGTTTCACTTTCGTCCATTTAAGGAAGGCTTTTGACCATGGAGTTCCTGCTCAGTGTATAGAGATTCTTCGTGAGCTATATAAATTTCACAACGGAGATATTACAATTCTGCAACAATATTAACATTGACCTCAAAGAGGGGTTAGGGAAGGCGATACCATCTTGTCAAAATTATTCACCGCTACCTCACCAGAACGTTATGCAGAAATTGGAATTGGACAACATGGGAGTGAGAACGGATGGTCGGAAATCGCATCATCTTCGCTTTGCTGATGACATTATTGCAGTGCTGTCAAGCGTTAGACAAGCGGAGCGAATGGTTGCCAGCTTTGGTATAAAGGCTGTGGAAAAATTGGTCTTCAACTAAGGAAGGTAAGAGGGCATTCGGCGTTGATCAATCTCTGAGAAATGCGCCATCCGACTTCATTAAGCATCGTTTGAAGCTGATTGAATGCATATCTGGCCTATGAAATGAGTCACCAGAAACCTGGTGGCTCCGTAAGCGGGATGAAAGATCACTCAGCGTTATTGAACGCACAGTCGAAAGGCGGATGCTAGGATTTTCCCGCGTCATAAACGTAAGGGAAGGGATCTGAGGCTCCAACTTGCGTCAGCGATCAAAAATCAAAGATGTCATTCTACACGCCAAACTGTCGAAAATTGGGTGTGGGCCGGACACGTAATGCGTATGAATGACAACAGATGGACAAGAGCCGTTAGTGATTGGATTCCTCGGGATGTCAAACGTACTGCAGGAAGACCACCGACCTGATGGTCAGGGTTTCTTCACAAAGAGCCTTGAAGAAAGATACGATGCTCGACGAATCCCTAGAGCGAGCAGAATCCACTGGGCTACTCTTGCACGCGACAGGGAGAAATGGAAGAACTATTGGTGCCCGCTCGAGTCACTCGACGATCAACGGGACGGCAGGTGATACAGTTGATCACGCCTTCGAGACCTAGCAGAATAAGTCTCAAGAAGTAAACATCAATCGGCCTATCGCAGCATGATATGAAGTGAAGGCGGAAGGTGAACGAAAGCAACAAAAGAGTGGATCTCGAGAGAACCAGACTTGAAGGAAAATCACCATAAAAATGGGCCGATGTGGTAGTTACAATCGTAAACAAGTCCTACTCGCGGCTGGAGTCAACTTTGAAATACTCAAACCGCAGTCGAAGCTACACGGAGACGCTAATTCCATGGAAGTATGTTACAAACCCATAAAACGATGGATGAATTGCTGGAAACCGCACGCGCACAGCTCTCTCAAGTTACTACGTAGACCGAATATGCATTCTTTTAGTTGTATGATGTTTAATAAAGTTGCAAACCCTTGTCTCAGGGAATAATGCCAACGCTGAACGCTTTACCAGAAACTTTACGCTTTGGTTATGAAAAGGGCTGGGATCATAGGAAATCTATTTCACGTATTGTGCTACGAGATCCTTTCGTATTTACACGGTCTATTTAATTCTTTGGAGTGTTTTAGCTTTCCATTAGTATTATATTGATATCCGATTAGACCCTTCTGTTTCAATCCATCTCTTAGAATTTTCGACTTTCATATAGCTCCTTGGCCTTCTGCGATTACATTAACACCGGTCGTAGAGCATTTCGTGAAATACTACTTCAGAACAGTTGTTATAAAATTCTGCTTTGAAACACGGTTATTTCTGGTTGGGTTATCTTATACAGCGTCACTTCATAATGGAATATCATTGATCACTTTAACGTAATATTGTTGACGCATGAAGACATTTCATCTCGTTGTGGCGATGACTTCATATTAAAGTTTTTAAGGAATTCACCAAGTAGTAACAGTGCAAATGTAGTCTACATATTTTGAACACAGGAGCAAAAAGCGGGCTACTCTTGATAAAGCGTTTCATTTCTACACATTAACGCAAAACGTTTTGGGAAAAGCATTTTCTGGGTCGAAAGTTTTTTAATCTCAGAGCTAAATCACCGGAACACTAGGACGTCTTAGAGTTATCGCGATATGATATCATCCGCGTTTTGCCCAATCAGAAACACTTCGTGGTGCTGGTGTTCTTATTTAATCGTGCAAAACTTTAGAAATTTCTTATGTTTTCGAGAGTTGTGATGTGGACTAGCCCAACTGGTGATGCATGTTTTTTTGTCACGAATGTATGATTTTTGATCAGTTTTCTCCCATAGGCAACTGGCAACTGACCCATCATTGGAAGGAAAGCTTATTTGTTGGTACTATATTTATAAGGGTATAAAAAGGGACCTATGACTGCATCACTTAAGACAACAGGGCAGCAAAAAGATAAAGGATTGAGCGCTTGGTTTTGATCAATTCCCTAAAGATGCCATATGCATTCCACTTCACCAAGGATTCTAGAGGTGATCGAATGCATATCTGACTTTTACAATGAGGTGGCCTATCGATCTCTCAAGTAAGTACTGCCATTCTCCCGGACAAATGTGGTACTAACCTACTTTCGCTGGAGGAAGGGAATTCTTGGTGTGGGATCGAACTATCGATCGATAAATTGTATATTGTAGGACATCTTTAACCACCTACTTTCACTCTTCACTAGACGTTTGCTTATTAGAACATATCAGCTCAAACTATGCCTTCAGCATCCAGATCTTATTCAACCGTGTGTTGGTTGTGCAAATAAATTGGTCTCAGCCATGCTGTGGTACAAAGTATCTAAGTGAAATCCTTCTGACGCAGACTACAATTTAGTTGTTGGCACAGGAAACTACAGCGGATGGATGGCGAAGGAATAGAAATAGAATAATTGGAAAAATTTTTTTCATTGTGTATGATCCGTCCTTGCGTCTACTGTGCGAATCCCTGCACTTCCCAAATTCGATTCGTTTCCTCGCATCCACGAAGGTCTCCCAGCTTTTCACGTGTGGCTTCGGCTGCTGCTTGAGAATTTTCATTTTACCTTGAATGTCGTGGAATGCTGGTCGAGTTGATTCTCTCTGAAACCGTGAGGTGACCGTGCTGGAGCGTTTCCAATTGGAGAGTGGGTTTTTCTCGGACAAGTCCGTCACCATTTTCCTAACCCCGAAAGGGTGAGACGCCAGGTGTGCCTGGTGCGGGATCGAACCAGCACTATGCTCGTCATGATCGGCGGCACTACCGCTGTGCTGTTCGCCCCTAGTTGGAGATAGCCTCATAGAAATAAGCACAATGCCTTCCATATCCCCAAGGTTAAAAATCTGCTGTTGCTGAACGATTAATTTGTCATTGGTTATCTTATTCGACAAGTTTTCTCTCAAACTATAACTTGTTCATGATTTTGCTGAAGTTCGCATATAAAATCACTTGAGCAGTTGACCCTTTTGCTGGAGCTTTACTAGTTTAGCCAGTGAACTTTTTTGGAGACCGGAGGTCAGCATAACCGAAGACTTCCTTAGGCCAGCGCCACCCCAGGCAGTTGCTGGATCAGAGCGAGATTTGTCACATAGCTATTATTTTGATGCCACGACCGTAATGGTTTCTGGTATTGGTTTACTCTTAACTAGGCCTTCAGATGGGAACGTCGGACTTCTTCTTGTTTCGGGAGGCCCTGCTAGAGAATGAATTCTCCGCTGTAGATCGCAGTCCGACAACCAGGAACACCTCCCAGCAACGATGGTCCTATAAACCTTTGGGAAACATTTTTAAAGATTCTACATATTCATCAGCCGAAAAAAGTCGTAACTTTTGTAGCTTCTCATACTCAAATCAAATAACACTTGCAACAGTAGAAGATTTGTGAAACATCTGTGCATTGAAGTCGGAACTCGTTTACTGATCCAATAGAAAACTGCAATTATTTCAATGATGCTGAGCTATTTACAAAACTCCTGATCGCAGGTGTCTGCGGTGGGGAACGAACTATTGTCCTTTCCGGGGAGTAACGTGTTCAGCACCACACCATTCGGGTTTTCGTTTTGCCTGTCTGTCAGCTAATATTGTCAATCCTTTGCCAACAGCAATCGCCCGTTAGACAATAGCGCGTTCGTTCCCCACCGCAGACACCTGCGGTCCGGAGTTTTGCAAATATCTCAGCATCATTGAAATTATATTTCGCAATATACTCTGCCGTTAAAAAGAGTAGGCAGTAAATAATAAGTCAAAACTGCAATTATTGTTTTATTCGAGTGTCATCTGCACCCTCTGTGTTTCATTAATCATCGAGTTATTAGAACAGGCACCAGTAACATTACCGTTCCCACCTGTTGGACATCACAACTGCAAGGTAGCTGTACTTCGCCGAAGAACAGTTGTGCGCCACAGTGTTCTTATGAAGCCTTTTGCTATCGTTTCTAAAGAGAAGATACGCATGAATAACTTGTCAGCTTCTTTCCGAGTGAACATGTGAATTATTTGTTAAAAGCTAGACCGCACCGTCTTCTATATGTTCTCCATTCACTTGGATGCAGGATTCTTGCTTAATCGACATGCAAGATACCATACAACCTGTACTTGAACAATTTACCCTAGCACAAATGCTACGCTGACTTAGGCACAAAAAATAAAATCACTCTGGCGCCACAAGGACGAGTGTCCTATTTTTGAAACCTTCTGTGGATCAGCTGTATTGCCTTTTTTAATAGACGCTTCCCCAGTATTAACAGTAAAAATATTCGGCCATTTCCACCACAGTATCACTACTGAATAATGGTAGTGTTGAGAAATATAAGCAAATTCTTCAATCTTAATCTTGTCTTAAAAGCGGAATCTAAGCCGTTAGTTCTAAGTGCTGCTCTATTATCAGAGGTTGATTTGCTTATAGAAGCTGCTAAAGAGTTAATAGGCACTTCTTGGTTCTTCATAAACATATTTCGGGATGAGATGTAAGAGGAGTTCGGTTTTGAATTGAAGCACTCAGCTAGAAAAGCCGCATCAGTGAGCTACAGCTTTGAAAAAGTAGACCAGTCCAGAATTTTTCTTTGTTAGTGACGTTTCGCAACATCGATTTGGCTCTTTAGTGTTCCTTTAAGCGTTGTTTCTATTCACATTTTGTACCAGTGTTATACCCAGACTAGTGTCTCGCTTTAGTTACCTATCCTGTTGCGTCAAAGAATTTCAATACCTTCCAGACTTGAAGCCCACGAATTTTTGATGTCTAGCGTCTTTGATCCATGGGTCAAAATGTGAGGAATCTGGTGTTGGTCAGAAGGGAGGCCACGTACATAATCACTAGATGATGGACTTGAATTAAATACAAGCTAAGACAAAAGCTTTGCCTACAGTTTGACGTAGCTATCTATATGAAACTTCGAAAGCCCATTTCATTAAGAATGTCACCCATCTGATTCTACCAGATTAACAACTATACTTTTTATATACACTTAATTATATCCATGCGTACGAATGCGGCCAAGATCTTAAACAAAAGAGACACACATCTACTCCATGGGTGTCGAACAAACTACCTCTTCGCAAAAGTACTGTTAATAAAGAGCTCAATATGAAGTGTATTACTCCTTCTGTATCTCTCATATAAGCGGAGGCAAATGACAAGCCCTCAGAAAGCAAAGAGTGGTGTGGACCAGCATCACTCAATGATTAGTGAGATTGCAAGTAATAATAACGATAGAGTTATGGTTTATTTGCTTCTTCTTAAATATCACTGTTTCAACCACTCATGTTCTAACTTCTTTTTGCTGACCAATAGAGCATTATTATAAAAAATCTCCACAATTATCTTGCGATAAACAATAGATTCCGCCTTGTAACTGAACTCATCCGATCAGCATTCACTATTCGTACAACCGAACTTTTATGAACCAATTAAAATTAACTCTTGCTGCTTTATTTCCTTCCAAGTTCATACTTTTGCACTTCTAATTGTTTCTTTTCTTTCTCTAGTCATCCCTTGATTTGTAAATATGATGTGCTGTGACTCATTTTAAGCTTTTTGGTAACCTTGCTGGATAATATAAGAAACATAACACAGC